GACGAAACAGATCATGGATGAAAGGCACCTGATATATAACACACAAGTTGAAGATTTCCGACTAAAATCAATTTTAACATATTTATACTGCAATTTTGATACATTTTCATTGCAATTTTGACATCTTTTTAGTGCAATTTTAAGATATTTTTAATGAAATTTTATCCGGTCTTTAATTATAACTTAATACATCTAGTGCATAATCATTCAAACCCAATGTCTTCAATTATTTTCAGACAACTAACCTTACAGGGCTCAATGTAGCTAAGAACCCGCATTACACTCTTGGAGTATTGTATGGAAAAATTTTACGAACTATCCGTAAAATGCCAGAAGATGCTTCATACCGGAAATATACTGAAGAAATTGTTAGCACAAGAGCCAAAATTGTTCAGGAAGTATTGATAATATTGTGTGACTACTACAATTTGCCTAACTATTTTATCAATTATTTAAACATTGTATTTACAGAGTGAAACAGTAGAAGATTTTGAGAAAAAAATTAACTGTGGACAAGCTGAAGAACTAATTATTCAAGCCGAAAATGAATTGATTTTGACAAGAAAAATGCTGGCATTCAAACCTTGGGAATCAATAATTGCGAGACCAAATGCAGACCAATGGTCCTGGCCACCAGGAAAGTAATCCAATCGCTTAAATGTTGTAAAATAGTTAGTTTCCAATTTATTAGATAATAAATATGTATTCTACAAAATGTTTATTTATTTATTTTTTATTAAGTGAAAAACAAATAATTTTTTTTTTTATAATAACAATTAGTAAATTATTTTTGTGAAAAGTGAATTGTAAAATATTTAACAATAATGTGAAATATGAAAATGTATTACTAGAATAAAACAAAACAATAATATAATTGATGCATATATTAAAACAATGTGTTAGAAAATATTTTTATATACAAAATAAAATTAATGGTAAATATTTACTTACTAAATTAACTTAATTAAATTATTATCAATATGAATTAACTAAACAGTAACAATAAACAAAATATTAATCTTTAAATATAATTATAAAACCTATTAGTTAAAATGTTAATGAATCTGAGCATTTTTTCACAATAGTTTGCAGCAATATCACACAATGCATAAAAGGCATAAATAACCTATGACGAATCTAATTTTGTAGATGGAACATAACTAACAACTTCTTCCCAAACAAGTTCTGCAAAAAAAATTATGTGTTAACTTCAATATATAAATTAATTAATTTATAAACTTAAATTTTAATAATTAATTCATACAATTAAATTACTTCATGCTTATTATTTTTTATCAGAATTAGACTCATCGCTGTCATACAATTTTCAGTTGCACAATTTAATTGCATTATTCACTTACACCAGGTACAGCTCCAGGGGGACCCCTCCCAATTCTGTACTGTTTTTAAATAAAATGTATTTTGTTAACAAAAAATGCATATTATAATATTGACTATCATACGACACACACAAGTATGTAAATAGAGCTATAGAGATATGACGGTTGAAAGTTCTCCACACTTTGTAGACTAAAAATCTGGCTTTGTTCAAGGATGACTGAAGATAGACTATCAGCATTATGTCTAAATAATGTATATCATAAAGTAGAAATTCTAGATTAAATAGATCATATTATTGATATTTTTGTCAATTTTAAAAATAAACTTCAATTTGTGTATTAAAAATTGTTTTCTTTTTGTTATAAGATTTTTGTAAAATTAAAACTTGGCCCCCTAACCACGCTCTGGAGCCGCCCCTGAATTCCAGTGTTAAATAACAATAAGCTCCCATGCAACCGATCAATTTGACCAACTAATTAGTTTGTGTTTTGTCACATATCATTTAATTGTACGATTACATCCTATGTATCATAGCGTGACAAGATAGTTAGCATTTAGAGCGGTTATGATGGAACTATTGCCCAGTTGAAAATTGCATAGCAATGACTAGCCTTAAAGATGATAAATCTTCTTCCTTATTATAAATTTACAAAAAAAAAAATCAGTCTACATGGTTTTTTTTTTAAGCTTTTCAAACTTGATTGGAGTAAAAATGTATTCTGCCATGATGGTCAAATTATAAAAATTAAATTTCTAATACTAGTTCCACACCTTTCCATTTTTCTACAGTTAATTCCATATCTTCAAAGCTTTGATCATATGGAGGTGAATTAGGTTCATCAGTTGGATCGGCATATTGTGCTAGATATGGATGTGCAAGTGCTTTTTCAGCAGTCATTCTCTTGTCAGCATCTAGTTCCAACATCTCTTCTAATAATTTAATTGCTGTCCACAAATTAAATTATTAGAATTTATATGGAAAATGTCTTAAATTAAAACACTACCTAGTGGGTTAGCTCCTTTAAAAACTCCACCAAAATCTTTTTTTGGCATTACTGGTAGTGATTGTATATACTTTTTTGCCTGAAATATAAAATAATATAACAACATAATACATTAAATCTAAAAAACTAAATATCGGCTAACAAATTAAAAGTAGGAGACAAACAACAAACCTCCGAGCTTTTAATTTTATTTAAATATTCTATGGATGGTGTTCCACATAAAACTAATACACGTGTTAAATGATCCACATCTAAGTTTAAACGCTGTTAAGGATTATAAGCATGTTCAAACTATCATTTGTAACTTACCGATTCGCTGGATATTTTTTGCATCAGTTCACTTGATGGTGTGCCTAATATTTCCAAAATCAAATTTAATTGTTGTATGTCTTTATATGTCTTATAAGAAAAATGTATTCTATGTTAGGTTTTCTTTAATAGCAAGATAAAAAATTATTTAAAAGGATACGATCTGTGCCTGGAAATAATGTTCTTCCAGTCAAAAGTTCTGCCATGATGCAACCAACTGACCAAATATCAACTAAAGTTAAAAAATTATGTAATTAACCTACAGAATAAGTAAAAAATTGGTTTGAAAAATAAAATATTAATATTTTTTGGGGATTCAAATAATGATGTCTCTCCAGCAAAATTCTAAAATTATGTTTATTACTTTCTATAGTGGTTAATTACGATAGCTATTACTTATAACCAGGGTTCAATTATCCATTTATTTTTTTATGTCACAATTAAAAAATAAAATACTATTTAATTCAATTCTTGAACCTTCATGAACTGCGTATAATGTATGTCTTAGTCAGTAATTAATTTTAAATCTGAAACTTATTCATTAAATGTATGAGTACCAAAAAGATAAGAAAAGAAAATATAATTTCTATTTTTAATTTTATTTCTGTTTTCCATTTTGTTTTTTGATAGATTCTAATAGAATGTTGTATAATATGCCTGATAAAATAGAAATATGCCAAATGTGCCAAATAAGATTTCACATATTTAACCGTGGTACTTTGAAATGGATTTTTATGTCATCTAGCATTAAATACAAATTTGTAACATTGATATGCAAATGCATGGAGTCCTGCATGCAAAAGCCCTGCTCATAACCTTATAATAATGTAATGAATTTTCTGTTAAAAAGTTATTTTTAAATAAAATTAGTTAACTAATTAATCAAAAATTGTAAATTATTTTTATTATTGATTTTAATTAATAATTAGTTAATTTAATTAGTAAAAATAAGTTGTAAATAAATTAAATCATAATTACTAATTGTAATTGATACTGTAACTATTACTGAAAATCTTACATATTGTATAGTTTAATATTTTTACAAAAAAAATTAAAATAAATCAGCAATAATGAATAGAAAACGTTTAGTTAAGATAAAAAGAAGTTCAACAAAAAATATAAAAATTAATATTCTTAAATATCTTGAGATATTAAATATAAATCATAATAAAAATATATAAACTAAACCTGTTTGGTTATAATGCATCCAGTTTAACATTATTTCAGGTGCTCTGTACCACCGAGTAGCTACATATCCAGTCATTTCACTTTCAGTTGGTCTGGCCAATCCAAAGTCTAATATTTTAAGTTCACAATCTTCATTTACTCCAATATTTGACGGTTTCAAATCCTAAATCAATAATTTGTCAGACATTTGAAATTATAATATTATTAATTTTAAATAGATAATATAATTTCATACTCTATGAATAATTCCTGCTGAATGAATGTACTTTAAACCTCGTAAAATTTGATAAACCAAAAATTGAACATGATCATCAGATAATTTTTGAGTACGTATGATGTTGTTCAAGTCAGCTCCCATTAAATGTGTAACCATATACCTAAAACAAATAATTAAATCATTTCTAAAAAACAAAAGTGTAATGTTATACATTAACTTACAATTGATTGAAATTATTTATAGTATTGGTAGGTGTAAATACATCTAACAATCCAATTACCTAAATATCAAAAAAGATAGATTAATTTTTATTAAATTATAGTTTTGTTTTGGTATTATATATTCTTGTTATGTAAAACCTAATATGTAATTACATTTTAGTAAGTCAAGGTTAAATTAATTGAACAAAATATAACAATAAGATATACTTGAAAAATATGTGTTCATGAAAATGTTTACTTTATATGAGCTTTAAATAGTATACGTTAATCTTAAAAATGAACATACATTTTCATGGTTCATATGTTTTAACATGCGAAGTTCTCGATATGTGCGTTTAGCATGGACAGCTGACTGAAATGGTCTGGCAAGTTTCTTGATAGCGACTTTGAGACCAGTCTGATTGTCGACAGCAGAGCTATAAGTTGCAAACAAAAATATTCATGAAGTTCATAAAAACCAATACAACGAGAATAACAATAAAAAACGATTGTATGCTTTACCAAACTTGCCCATAAGCACCAAGACCGACGGGAGTGAGCATTTGGTACCGTTCAGGTACTTCCCATTCAGTTTTGTTTATCTCGATTTTGTAATACTTCATCGTTTAAACGTTGCTTGTTTATCGAAGAACGGTTCACGTGCGAAACTACCTACGACAGCGACATGTTAACGTTTACCGGAATTAATTTTAACTTTTATAATAAACACAGATCTCTAAATGAATAGAAAATAATAATAACAATAATAATAAAACGATTATCGAATCATAACTACACGGTTTCAGGGATCTATGAAGAAACGCTTCGACGCTTCTGCGCCTTGAGTGTTGTATTTTTTTTTTTATTCTTTAGAAAAGAAAAAGTTGTTTAAAATGCATTCCCGAATCGCGTTTTGCGATTGGACAGCCGCCTAGATCGCAGTGTTGCGCTCGGTGTGCTTTCCTTACAGACCAACCTTTCGTTCGGTTCGCACCACGGTCTAAGATTATATACCTAAACCTATTATCTTAGTCCGAGGTTTGCACCATAACAGTGATAACATGTAACGTTGCGATACTATCGATACCAAGTACTTTTTGTATTGATACCATGGTTTGTATACTTCACTTAATTTGATAAAAAAATACTGGTATTGATTTTTTTTTTATTTACAAGTCGAGGTGACTGGTCATTTTACTAGTAAATAAATGTATAAACATCATTACATGTAGACTAACATAAACATATAAATTAACAAAATTTCAGCAGGTAAATACTAAAATAGGTGTATATTAGGGTGTCCCTTATATATAGAAAAATTTTTTGTTATAATAGTCCAGCATACCCCCTAATTTTTTTCCTTTTGGTCTTAAACTGTTGTAAATGAAATATTTTCTCTCTAGGATAAAGTTAACCCGTGCCGAATTCTATTCAAAATTGGTTTATACGAACTCTAGTATTTCCGTTAAAACAGATACATTTCTTGGGCACCTCAACATTTTTCTTGTCTTAATTTTTTGTGCTACTGACTTACCAGATTTTTTACCACATTTTTGTGAATAATTTACAAAGATCTGGATAAAACGTGATAACACTTAAATTAATTGACTACTATTTCAGAATATTGTTATTTAATATATAAAAATCAATATTTTATTTTATTAAATGAACATTGAACATGGATTATTACAATTGGTATTTTCTCTTCAAAGTTTCTTTTTTGCAATCTGGATATATTTTTTGGTGTTCACTAACACATCGTAACACAAACTGCTTTTGTTCTTCATCTGCTGTGAGTAGACCGCGAAAATCCTGCATTAATTACACAGCTCTCTCCGCTGTATCGTTAACTCCTTTTAGGCATGAAACGACTTCTTTTGCTTGAATGAAATCCTTATTTATCTCCCATGAAGATATGGATGCCTGAAGAAATTGATCATTGAGTTCTAGGTGACTGAACAAATTCTTACTCTTCAAAGATACAAAGTCATCTAGGATCTTTTCTAAAAAAAGAAAAAAATAACGAAAATAATTAAAATAAATTTATAATATAATACTTATT